TTCAATAAGCAATCCTGAAAAATATTTGGGGGTGCTTAACTTTTTTCCAGGTGTATAGTTTGATTCAATGGTGAATCATAATAATTTAATTTTCACACTTGTTTTAAATCCTCAACATTGTTATTTCTATTGAATTAATTGCACAAGATGACCAGTAGTTTGCTAGCATGTTTGAAAAACATTTCAAGTTTCAATATGAGAAAAGTATTTCAAACATGTAAATTTCACATTTGGACTTGACAACAATACTAATGGTTTATTTAAGTGCAAAGCTGCACAATGGGCTATGTGCACTGCACCCATCAAATGGACTGAACTTCAAATTTTAGTTTATAAACCCTCAAACTTACTACTGAGACACTACAATGCCAACAATAATGGAGGGTCATTAACTTGAGATAGATAAAATATTCATTCACAAAATAAATAAATTAATAATATCTACACTAAACAGTCTTTTATATCATGACATTAAGTTTTTCAAATGTTTTACATAAATCATCACATTGTTAGAAGTGTATTTCCTGAGACAATTATTACTAATTGACACCAATTAAAAAGTTAAGTATATAGTTAGCAAATATCTAAAAACCAATATTCGTATACAACAAGATTATTAAAAATTGTTAATTTAAAAGAGGAATAGGGATTGTAAAAAAAATTCAGAAAAAAAGAAAGTTAGCTTAAAGTGAAAATGCAGTCACAAAAAAAAGTAAACAAACAAGTTTAAGGTTTGAGACACAAGATAAATAAAAAAATTAGGAAATTTAAAAACCTACAAATAGGGATAGTAAACATGGTAAGCATACAAAGGCTGGAGATACTGTAGACATTATTTACTCAAGCAAAAAATCCTTATTTTGACTTCATTTTCCTCATCTCCTGCTTGCATGATTTTTGCCATTCCTTCTAGTCAGCTTCAACGATGGCTACTATATCTGCAGTATCTATAAAATTCGCAATCAGGTAGAGTGGGCTATAATTCAGAATCAGCAATCACTGTGATTACCAATCTATTGCTTGAAACTGAACTTGATCCTACCTTTTAAACTATGGCTTAAAGATATATTTTGTGGGCGACTAGCTGATACGGTTCATGATGATTTACTGTTGCTATTTACTATTTGATCGCATTAATTTGAGATGTAAAATATTAAGCAGCAGCTGGAGATTATCATGTAGATTTGCTTGAGAATATAGTGAGCATTTATAATTTCTGTGTAACTAAATCTGCTATATATAATGAATAGCAATGTGCAAATATATGCCTAGACTAAGACACAACCCTCTCTAAGCTCGTATAAAATTTTACCAGTAGAAAAGCAGCCTTTTCAAATAAAACATATACATCTGAAATATCACTTTAAATAAACCTTCATGTCTTTTAATGTAATTATTCTATGAATGTGGGTAAATAAAATTGAATATTATGTGTATTATTTGTTTGTTTTTTACTCCTTCACTTCACTTCATACATAATATAGGGGTTGACTCCTATAGTATAGTGAACAAAGCATTGAGTATCTACATTTTATTAGTCATCTAATGTTCATCTATTATTGGCTGGTAATTCCTGTTCCACCCTATATTTAAGCTTCTTAAAGGAACATCAGATATTTGTAATAAAACTAACTTCAAGGGGTAATGATAACATCGTTTACACTAGAATTATGATTTTTTTTAGCTTATGTAAAATATAGAAGTAACTTAAAAAGTACCCATTGCAATGCACAGTATGTTTAGTAATATTGTCCAAGTTTGATTGTAATACTCATGCCTGTTTTTGCTGTAGGTTGGTGAAAGAACAAATGGGCAATTCCAATTATGAGCCACTACTGTGGTTCATGATGAAATATTAAAAAAAAGATGGTAGTTCTAGCCCTAGTCATATTCAGGCAGGCAAAATGCTGGTAATTTCTATTGAAGTTATGTCACATACTGGTGATTACAAGGAGAAGGAAATTACTCCTCCCTTATGTTATAACACGAAGTTAGAACTGCTTTGCTTTAAATTCTGTTCAAGAAGCACTAGCACTGAATGTCTATTTTGGTCAGAAAGGAAATTGAGAAGGTATTCTCAGCCACATGGCCAGATCACAAGTGTATCATCTACACAGTGTACCCAGAAGGATGGTGCCAGTGTTGTGTCTTCTATAGCTTTTGTTTCAAAATCTTCCACACAGATTTGGCAAACAACTGAAGACAAAGTGAACCTATGGATGTTCCTTCTTCCACGGTTTAAAATTTTTCACCATATTTACAGTAATTTAAGTTCAAATCACAAAAAACAGAAGCATATAATTTACCACGGAAACTGATACTGTTGATACTTAGTACTTTGTTTATATGTACTGATGTATAGAAGTGATGGTAAATTAACTACTAATATTTACTTATATATACAACTAAGTATCATATCTTCTCACCCCATTTCAGTTAATTCCGGAATCCTGAATCACTTGGTAACCAAAGTTAGATACATTTGATGAAGATCATCTTGAAGTAGAATTATACAGATTGAAAACTACTTTCTGAAGGCGAAAATACCTTGAATCTCTTACCAAGAGAATTATAGATAAGAAGAAACAGTATACACAACAATTCTCAAATCCTAATACAAGTAATATCAAGTTTCCAATACAAACAAGGACTTCCAACATGTATTAAAAAAGAAGAAAAAGATAACCACTATTCATAGATTACATACAACATTATACTCTATGCTCATGACAATTAAAATAAATATTTCTAACACATCAGAAGAATGCTTTTTACAAAGTAACCTGTAGATGCAAGAATATTTACACTGGTAAAATAGAATGCCCATCAAACAATTGTTATAAGGAATACACATGACTATCTTCTAAATGAGAACAATTGTCTGGAAGATCAACACATTGTCTGGATTGTGATAAGTTACCAAAAACTGATGTTCAAATCACTGAAAAGTTGTTGTTTCTAATTAAGCACAAAGCTACACAATGGGCTATCTGTGCTCTGCCCACCACAGGTATCAAAACCCAGTTTCTAGCGTTGTAAGTCCACAGACATACTGCTGTGCCACTGGGGGCATCACTGAAATGAAAACCATTTCTAATAACAAAAAACAAAAGAAACTCCTAGTGTGGTCCTGAAAAATGGCCCAACAGATTAGATACAAGTCCCATCTGTAGTGAAATATTTTGTATATTTTAGCTGTTTAACTCTCTCAACACAGGATCGGTCAATTTGACCGAGTCATGTGACTTTTTGTACTCATTTAAAGTCTTTATAAATTTAATACTTAGAACTCTCAATATATTGGGGTATATCTTCACGAAATTTGACAGTCTTTCAGTTAACATTACATGTCTTTCACATACAAAAAGTCATATTTCTTAGTGAAGTATTTTGAATACATTAAAATAAAGATTTGTCCATGAATATATTGAG